GGAGACGTTCCGACGGTGGCTGCTGTCGCACTCCTGTCCCCGGGCAGAATTCCACACGCAGGCGGTTTCTGGTGCTTTCGCACAATTCAGTAGCGGGAGGGAGGGGCAGAGAATGGACAAGCAACATTTCCAGAGGGCGACTGGAGACGTGATTTGCTTGACAAGGCATGAAAAAATACCCCAGACCCATCCGTGCTCTCCCAGATTGTGACGCAGTGGGGACAGGATTCGCTCTGCTTGTTTTGTTATGTTGCATGTCATTTCTGCTGTACTGTGGTAACCTTGTGGGCGTGCCTCAGTTTACCTAGATGGGGATGGGAGCTCTGGGTGTGACTCCCACTGAGGGAGGCCGCCCCAGCCCAGCCCATACAAAATAGCGGAGGTGCTCCATAACCTGAGCCTGGTGTGTGACCAAGTGTGACTTTTGCTGAGGAAGCAGGACAAAGGGTGGAGGCAGGGCTGGCTGCAAGGGGAGAGGGGCTGCTGAGTGTGTGAGGCTTGGCGAGCAGAACTGGGGGTCAGGGATGCTGGTTTCTGAGCCCCCTCTCCCCAGGATGGATGGTACTGGCTACTTCTGGTTGCTGTGCTGACAAGTCCGTTGCACGCTGTGCACTAATAACCCTTCCGTTCACCCTGCCGGCTGACAGTCGCGTCCGGCTGTGGACGGGGGTGCAGGGCCTGGTGACTCCCCGCCCCAGCATCACAGCTTTAGTCCTAAAATCCTGAGTGGACAAGCCAGGCTGCTTCTGTGTCCCTGCTCAATACCCACCTGTGAGGCTGTGGCTAGCAATGGCAGAGGTGGCCAGGGTGGAGTCCCCACTGGTGGAGCCAGGAGGTGCCTGAGCAACACAAGGCAGCTGCTGCAGCTCTAGTGTCTCTTTTTCATTTGTGGTGGTGATTTTTTTTTTTTTTGTGCCCATTTAATTTGCATGTTCTTCTCCCTGTACTTTAGACTTCACGTGAATCGCGCTTGCAGAAATGACTCATGGCTCTCTACAACCAGATCGCTCGCCAGCAGGCTGGTTTGCATAACACACCGAAGAGTCGCCTTTTAAAGGGAACCCGGATGGTTTTTTCCATCCGGATCTGTCGGCGTGAAACCTCTCCCACGTGAACCCCCTGGAACAGAACATGGGCCTACCTGGCTATTTCAACAAAGGAGTCAAACCTGCCCTCTCCCTGGTTCAGGACCGGTCAGATTCCGAGGGTGCCAGGCTGGAGAAGTCCAACCTGTACCTCCAGTGGCTGAGAGGTTCCTGTGTTTAGCAGAAACCACAAAGGCTCCTCTGCTAATCATGGGCTAGTCCACGCAGAAAAGAACTCTCAGACTCCACTGCCACAGAAGGGGGAGAGGACACGTAGCCTCATCTCCACACTGAACCCCAAACTCTCTAGCCACCTCCAGACGCTCCTATGGCTGGCGCTGGATTTGGAAGCCCCAATTCCTTCGCACTTTCACCACCTTGCAGTCGCAGTCGTTCGCTAGTTGCTCATCGGCTGGGACCAGCCTCAGCCCTGGGCTGAGGGCACCTGGACCCTATAGAGTGTTGGTCTATGGCAAGGACACAGGAGATCTCTGCCACAGACTTCCTGCCACCTTGGGCATGTCTCTTAGCATCTGTGGACTTCGGTTCCCCAGCTACCTTATGGAGTTGGTAGCTGTGCCTTATGCAAAGGGGTGCTGTGAGGCGAAATATATTAGCGAGTCTTAGGTGCTTAGAAGCTCTGGTAATGGGCTATTTAAGTACCCTGAAGAGAGAAAGCTGAGAAGCAGAGATGGGGCGATCACTCTGTTAAATTAGCCCTGACTGCACTTTACACACACGCCAGTAGCACAAGAATAAGAACACATGGACTGTGCGGGTGACTTTCCTGCAGGGCAACTTCAACACATACTGCCACCCTGAAGCCCTCTAGCCCTTCCCAGCTGGGGTCATGTCACAGAGTAGCTGCTGGCTGTGGCTTGACTAAACCCAGTGTCCCCTGAACGGGGACGAACCAGCTAAAGCGGGCCCGGCTACCCCGGGGCCTATAATGGGCTGCTGGTAGACAGCTGGAGGAGGGAGGCCTGCCACAGGCTGGGCCCCGGGGCAGGAAAGGCCTGCTGAGGTGGCGCTCATTCCTGTGATGAGTCACACCGGGGCTCTGAGAAGCTGCCAGAAGCGGGTGCCAGAGGCCCCTGGGCGGGGTGGCCGTGAAGCTGGGGCTGAGGGGAGAGCTCAGACGGATTTCTGTGTGTGCAACAACCTGGGTTAAAGAGAGAAGCTGCGTGGCTGCGGCTGGGTGTGGCAGCACATGCAGCCAGGCTGGAGAGAGGCCTGGCCCGGTGACAGGCCCACGTCCTGCAGAGAGCCCTGTGTGATAACACGGGTGTTATATAAATATGAGTAAACATATGTAATCAAGATGGGACTTAAGTAACGACGGCTCCACCGGTTTCTCTTGTTCTCCTTCCTACACGCGCCCCGGGAGACTTACGTAACGTGGCTCTGTGGTTGCTATCGTCATCCTTTTCCACCAAGTTCCTGCGCTCTGCGGCCCACGCTTGACTTGGAGGCATCAAAGCATTATGCTAACGACCTTCGCCACGGTGCGTGTCCACAGCCTCTCTCGGGTGCGCCAGAACGAGGACGCATCTCGGGAGGCCACGAACAGACTTTTCTGTGAAGCACTTGAGTTGGGCGACTGGCAAATGCCACTGGCCTTCGATCTTCTGGACACAGCAGAGCACCGGTTCCGGGGCCGTGAGTCAAGCAGACTGGGGGGAACCTCATTGTGATACAGCTATGGGATGATCAGCAGGGGCTGCAAAGCTTCCCTGTGCATAAGGCCACTTTCATGGGTGTTTGCGAATTGCTTTCCTCTCGCCCTGAAGTGCAGCAATCCCACAATGAGACCTGCTCTGACCGTGGAGAAGTGCATGGCGATTGCCCTCTGGCAGCTTGTCACACCAGACAGCTGGGAATCAATTTGCTGTGGGGAAATCTAGGACGGAGGCTGTTGTGATCCAAGAGGCCAAGGCAGTCAATGCCTTTCTGCTACAGAGGGGGGTGACTCTGGGAAACGTGGAGGACCTAGGGGAGGGATTTGCCATGGTGAGGTTCCCTAACTGGCGGGGCGAAAGACGGAATGCACATCCCCATCTTGGCACCTGGCCCCCTTGCCAAGGAGCACATCAAGCACAAGGGGTACTTTTCGATAGTGCTACAGGCGCTGGTGGATCATTTTACGGACTCCAGTGTAGAATGGTCAGGAAAGGTGCACGACGCACACACAGGATCATAGAACAGGAAGGGACCTCGAGAGGTCAGAGTCCAGTCCCCTGCTCCCACGGCAGGACCAAGTACCATCCAGATCACCCCTGACAGGTGTCTGTCTAACCTGCTCTTCAATATCTCCAGTGATGGAAATTCCGCAACCACCTTAGACAATTTATTCCAGTGTTTAACCACCCTGACAACCAAGAAGTTTTTCCTGATGTCCAACCTAAACCTGCCTTGCTGCAATGTAAGCCCCTTGCTTCTATCCTCAGAGGCCAAGGAGAACAATTTTTCTCCCTCCTCCTCATAACACCTGTAGGAACTCTTGTCCCTTCAAAAAGCCACAAACTAGAACTTTCTTCCCAGCTGGAAAATTACCATCAGAGGCATTGAAATGCCAATAGTGATCCTTGGAGACCCAGCCTACCCCTAGCTGTACACAGGCAGCCTGGACCACAGGAAGGAGCAGTTCAACTACAGGCTGAGCAAGTGGACAACGGTGGTTGAATGTGCTTTGGGGGCATTTACAGGGAGGGCTCTGGAATCTAATGACTAGGTTACACCTCAGCACAAGTAACAGTCCCATTGTTGAGGCAGCCTGCTGTGTGCTCCACAATATTAGTGAGCGTTAGAGGGAAAGTTATCTGGCCAGGGGTGGGGAACTGAGGCACAGCGCCTAGCCAGTAATTATGAGCAGACAGACAGCAGGGCAATAAGGAGGGCACAGCGAGGAGCACTGCAAATCAGAGACCCTTTGAAAGACAGCTTTATGAATGGCCAGATTTAAGAATGATGCCCGTTGCTCTCAATGAAGGGCTCCTGTATTCAGTGCGCTTGCCTGTAAACCCTGTAACAACCCCCACCCCACCTGTCGACACAAGCAATAAAGAGACTGGCGTTCAGAAATCATGCCTTTTTATTTAGGGAACGCGGCAGGGACAGAAAAGGAGTCCAGGGTGGGAGCTTCAAGGAAGGGAGGTCGATCACAATTGCAAGGAGGACACCTGAGGGGTGTCTTGGAAGGAATCCATGAACTGGCTAGGGAAACTGGTCACGTCCACCCCCAAGAATCACGTGTCGCTGCTTGGAGAAGCAGCATGTGTGCGGTGATGCTCTAGAGCAGGCATGTCCAAAGTCCAGCCCACGGGCCAATTGCGGCCCGTGTTCCGGTTTAATACGGCCCCCCGGGTAATTTGGCAATATCTATCTTTTATGGCCCCCAACGAATCCATATGTATTGAGATGAATACATTGTAAAATCTCAGTTAATGTCAGTTGGTCTAAATCAGTTATAAATATATTTGGACACAACATGTATACTTGGTGTTATGTTCCTGTTCATATTTTTTGAACTTAAAAGTTGACAGACAACCTTTATTACCAATAATATGTAATGTACTTTACAATGTTCCTGACATATATTTCAGCTTCCTGGATTTTTTTTTCCATCTGGCCTTCAGATATGAAAGGCAGAGTGATTTAACACCTGTTTAGATTTGTCATCCATGTGACGAAATGAAAAGTATGCCGTTTGCAATAAACTTTGCATAAAATAGTTAATTTGCATTTAATTTTAATGGTTCAAAGAATGTCAGGTAAAATGGTCGGCCCTCATGCATGTTCACTTCATCAAATCTGGCCCTCTTTAAAAAAAGTTTGGACACCCCTGCTCTAGAGTCTAGACTGTCCGTTTGCCTCCTTTGTCTTCTGGTACGACTGCCTCAGCTCCTTTATTTTCACTCGGTACTGCTGGGCATCCCTGGGGTACCCTGGCCCCTCCATGCCCTGTGTGATTTTGCCATAGAGATCTGCGTTTCTTTTGCTGGTTCGTAGCGCTGCAAGAACAGATTCCTTTCCACACCCAGCGATGAGATCCAGGATCTCCAGCACGCTCAGGCTGGAACTCATGGTCCGGTGTGCTGCCTGCTCTGAGGTCTGCTGGCCACACGGGGAATGAAATTCAAATTTTCCAGGGGCTTTTCCTGGAGAGCAATAGAGTTGAAAGTCCTGGCCAGAGTGGTCACAGTGGGGAGTGTGGGACACCTCCTGGAGGCCAAGAATGTTGACATTCACAGTGCTGTGTCTGCACTACCCTAAAATCGACCAGGCAAGGTCGAATTTAGTGTTACTCCTGGTAAAAGCAGGTGTACTGAAATCGACTTTAACAGCCGTTAAAATCAATGGCACAGGATTGGTGGGGTGGAGTCATTGTTTAGAAAATTGACCTAATGCGGCCAAGTTCGACCTAAATTCCCAGTGTAGACCAGAACTAAGTGCACTGATGAATGAGGCAGTGTTGCCTAGTGGATGGATCCCTGCATCATGACCCAGGAGGAGTGAGTTCAAACCTGGTCTTTGGAGGAAAGGGGGGTGTCACTGCCCTCTCCCTACCTAAATTTTTCCATCTGTCCAAAGGGGATAACGATATTGACTTTCTTTCCAAAATACTAGAGAAGAGCTGGGCATTACATGAGGGTTGCAATAAATAGTTAGATTTCTTGATCAGAGATCTACAGGGCATTCACTAGTTGAGTTTGCCAAATGGTTGGGGTGGGGGGTCGGGGGTTAATCCACAAACTGCAGTTTGATCATTCAAAGCTACAAGACTCATTTAACAAAATCATCAAGGTGAGCGAGGTTTTGCAAGAGCAAAATGTTTGGCTTTTTTGGTTTTGTTTTTGCATATTCAGGCCCCAGTTCAGTTAAGCTTCTTTATCCAGTACGACCCCGCTGCTCATAATTAGCTAAGCAAGTGTGTAAATCCCATTGGCTTTAGCTGGATTCAAGCCTGGATTTACTCACAGAGGTGAACGGGGCCTTCAATTAATTTTAAATCTGATTCCTCTTGTTTGCAAAGCACTGAAGAAAGCGTTCTGATTGAATCTGCCTGCACGTGCCACGCCGCGGTAATCCAGGGGGCGTGGAAATGATGGCACTAGAGACTTTCACAATGAGAACCTTAAGAACAGCCACACTGGGTCAGACCAAAGGTCCGTTTAGCCCAGTACCTTGTTTGCTGACGGTGGCCAACGCCAGGGCCCTACCGGGAATTAACACAACAGGGAATCATCAAGTGATCCTTCTTGCTAATAGCCATTGATGGATCGATTATCTATGAATTTATCTAGCTCTTTTTTGAACACTGTTGGAGTCCTGGCCTTCACAACATCCATTGGCAAGGAGTTCCACAGGTTGACTGTACATTGTGTGGAAAAAAAAAACTTCCTTTTGTTTGTTTTAAACCTATCAATTTCATTTCGTGCCCCCTAATTCTTGTGTTATGGGAATAAGTAAATAACTTTTCCTAATTTACTTTCTCCATGCCAGTCGTGAGGTGACAGACCTTACACTGCCTGCCTTTAATATGAAAAATTATATAGCGTACTGAGCATGAGCAGCCATTGAATGGGGCTGGGTTTGTCAAACCAAGTTCAACAAAGGGCCCCGGCGGCCAGGACTTTCCTCACAGCAGTGATGTTTGTACACGTGTGACAGTGGATTTGGGCAAAAATTAAGCATTGCTAGAATTAAAGGGGGGGAGGCAGAGAATCAGCACAGCCCCAAGGGCGAGGAGGGGGCAAGGAGAAGCTCTGTCCTTAGCCACATTGCACTGTGGGACAAGGGAGAAGAGTTTGCAGCTGCCGGGTAGGAGATGGGGGTACAGAACCATGGGACAACCTGCTGCCCACGCCCCACCCCTTTCACACCCAGAGAGAACAGCTCCTGGACTCTCTTGAGTATAGGGTCTAGGATTCTGGATAATCCATCACCATCTACTCAGTGGGGCGGGGGATGGGCATACTTCTGCTTTACTCAATGGAGTGGGGGGGATGGGCATACTCCTGCTTTACTCAGTGGAGTGGGGGGGATGGGCATACTCCTGCTTTACTCAGTGGAGTGGGGGGGATGGGCATACTCCTGCTTTACTCAGTGGAGTGGGGGGGATGGGCATACTCCTGCTTTACTCAGTGGAGTGGGGGGGATGGGCATACTCCTGCTTTACTCAGTGGAGTGGGGGGGATGGGCATACTCCTGCTTTACTCGGTGGAGTGGGGGGATGGGCATACTCCTGCTTGCTTAAAGCATGCCAAAGCCCTAATTCTTTAGGCTGCACAAAAAGTATTCCCACACAATCCCATTGACCTTGAGTATGGGCTTAGCTGTGCATAAGATGAATGGACAGGCCTGTACACAGAGGTGGGGGGTGGGGTGCAAAAGCACCCTCCCTAATTCCCCAAGAAAGCATGCTTCGGCCAGTCCGGGGAAGGCTGGGGCTGATCTCCCATGCCAAAGCCCTAATTCTTTAGGCTGCACAAAAAGTATTCCCACACAATCCCATTGACCTTGAGTATGGGCTTAGCTGTGCATAAGATGAATGGACAGGCCTGTACACAGAGGTGGGGGGTGGGGTGCAAAAGCACCCTCCCTAATTCCCCAAGAAAGCATGCTTCGGCCAGTCCGGGGAAGGCTGGGGCTGATCTCCCGGGGGGGGGGGGGGGGGGTGCATTCACACCCTTGCAGTCTGCATTTACAAAAAAAGCACCTACCCCCCCCAGAAATTCCTGCATACGGGCCCGATGGATGTATCGGCTCTTTGGCTTCAGGCCAGCCCTCTGCCACCCGTCCTCCACACTAGACGTGAATGCTGCCGTGGAATCAGGGAATGGCACGGAACATCTTTTCTGCTGTGGGTTTCCTGCTCATCTGAAAAAAATGTAACGAGGCAAAGGCGAGTGGTTTTGTAATCATATCGACAAATAACATCTGCCTATTTTTCAGCATGTGTTTTTATTTATGTCAATTGAAATGTTCATTGTTCCACAGCATTATGGCGGGACCAGACGGTGGCGGGATAAGCATTATTTAATGACAGCTGCTGCTGTTCAAAAGTAAAGTTTTATAACCAGCAAACCACAAATTGTCAGGCAGCATGTTACTTACTTTGCCTCTCAGTATGCTTTGATCGTTATCAATGGAAATATTTTTCTAGCCATTCCTGTGCATACGGCGAAATTGAGGTTTACCAATAAAAAAGAAAAAAAATCGAATCCCTTCCAGTCTAAATAGAACTAAAGCACAACGTTTAAAATTGGTGTTTGCCGAGTAAACCACAGTTGCTTGCAAACGCATTGAGAAAGCCGTTTAGATCCTTTTTCTCGTCCTATAATATTGTTGGGATTTTTTAATCAAAGTCTATAAAAGTGCAGTCTTTTTTTTAAACTTACTTCCTGCTTTTGTGGGGACTATTTAAGATCTTGCTGTATAGGTTGCATGGAAACAATATTGGAAGCTGTGTTCTTTGGTTTTATAGGGGAGCCTGGACTACCCTGCCTTGGCAATAAATGGTGATGTCCCTCTTGTCCAAAGTGTGGATTTTTGGCCTGTCTCAAGTCTGGTGCACCAAAGCACGCAGGCAGGGCCGAGAGTCAGGAATTGTTTTGTATAACAATGCAGATTAAGCATGGGACGCAAGACCACGTCAAGAACACACCACAAGCAACCTTGTACGGGTACTTGTTTCTGATCAGCAAAAAGTACAGATGCAGCCATGAAACTGTCAACTACGCACATAGTTTAGGTAACATCCTGGTTAAGGATGTACGCTAAATAGGGGCATTGGGTGTTTTACGTCTCCTACCCAACACATAATCAATTGGTAAATATTATTAGAATGACCGAATCTCGCTTTGCTATAAATTGGGTTTAGTAAGAACCACAACCTCCTGCCTGGCACTGTAGGTAGCATACGGGTGAAGTGTAAGTGAATTGTGCTTTATTATTATTATATATAATAGATCTATTAGTAATTGCTTTTGCATTGCTTTGCGCTGTATTAATTGCTTTAGACTGTATAGTATTTAAGGTTTAAATTGTATAGTCATTGTTCTTAAGGCTTGTAAAACTTAAACAACTGTATTAACTGTTTAAAGCTTGCACTAAATAAGAAAGTGGTTAAGTAGCCCTGGAGCGTACTGATTTCCCTTGGATCTAAAATAAATCAAACCACACAACAGGTTTAAATAAAACCTGAGTGAGCCTGGCTTTTACACACTTGTTTGTCTGAAACCCGAACTGCTCAGCACAAAATGGATTTGTTGCTAAAGTAAACATAAAATAGACTTCTCCCTGTAAAAGAAGCAAACCGGTATTCCAAGCGTGTAGAGCGCTTGCTTGGTTTTCCAAGAAAGGTACGTCTTCAAGTCATTATATTAGAACTAGGTCTTTATAGCACAGTAGCGCCTATGGACACAGATAAGTCAGGAATCCACATTGTGCTGGGCGCTGTACAAAGGCATGACCAAAAGATGCTCTCTTCCCATAAGACTTTGCAGTCTAAAAACTGCAACTGGTGTTAAAATCTAGGGCTTAGAGTTCTTTCTGTTAGGCCTCTTTATAAGACTGGAAAGGCAGTCTCACGGGACATGTCTACACTAGAGAGAGGATCAACCCTCCGGAGGTTAATATTCAAGCATTTGATTTAGCAGGTCTAGAGCAGACCACTAAATCGAATGCTGAGGGCAGCCCCCAGTCTGCGAGGAGTAAGGGAAGCCAACAGGAGCGTGTGCTCCCGCCAGCTTCCCTGAGCACGGACAAGGATTTAAGCTACGTCAGCCCCAGCGACGCAATTAACGGAGCTGAAGTTGTGTATCTTAGGTCAACATTCCCCTCCAGTGTAGACCAGGCCATGGAGAAGATCCCAACTTAGCATAGTGATGGCACAATGGTGCTACACTGTATTCCCTCAGTACTGGGAATGGAGAGGGGGAAGAAAGGGATCTGAGGCATTTGCTCCTCAAGGAGCAGTTGCAAATGTGGGTTCGCTGATCATGTGGACTCTTATTCTGCAGTAGCCAGAGCAGTTTCTAGTTTCCTTGTCAGTATCACCAGGTAGACAAGCCTGTAGTCAGTTAAGCAGGTGCAGAGTAAGATTTTGTAGAAGGGAGGTTTCAATATCAAAGGGTCCGGCTGCTGCTGAGGATCCTTCCTCCTGCTGCATGTGATGGAACGTGCCTGCTGCTAAATTGCCAAGTCAGCAAAAATCTGGACCAGTGTTCCCCATTTGAAACCGTCCGTGGTGTGTTGGGTAAGATCTTTGCAATAGCTTGTACTGCATATTCATCACCTCACATGGCATTTATATAACCGGCTACATACAGTGTGTGCCTGGCGAGATATTAAAATATATTGCTTGGCACCAAAGACTATAGTTATAGCACCGAAAAACTCCTCCACTGCCAGCAGTCTGCTCGGCCTCTTTAATGTTTTCTTCATATTCTCTCTCTCTCTCTCTCTGTGTGGCCATGTCGCTTGCCAGAGACGCCTTACAAAACAGCCCTGGGGAATGGTTATGGAACATTTAGATTAGCCGCGAGGAACCAATTTCACCAGTAGATGGAGCTGATGTCTCATTTTTAATGGCAGCTCCATTCCTCCCCCCTCTTTGGGGGGGTGGTTATAAGACTATGGCTTTATGCTGTCAGGAGCAGCTGTCACTTTGGGCTGAAGATGGTTCTATCATCTAAACACTCCGGGGCCGAGCCATGTCTCAGTTCTGAAAGCACAAAAGGTGCAAACATTTTTTCCTGGTTCAAATAAAATAGCAAATTTCAAACCAGGTCCGGTTTTCACAGCCTCGTCGCCCAGAATGTCCAGTAGCCTTTTGAAATACCTGCCTTGCACTTTGGTGTCTCTGATGACCAATCCGTAGCAGGCCATGTTGTCTAGATTTCCAAAGGGGCTGCCCATGCTGGCTGGTTCCTTAGGAGCTGTGTGAGTAACAGAACGGGGAGGAACCGTTAGCAGGAAGAAAGGGAAGACATCAAAGGCAGCCACTGCAGGATCACATGGGTGTGTGCCGGGCTCCTTCCATGGTCTCAGTCATGTTACTTAATCACTCTGTAGTTCACAGCCCCCAGCTAAAAACTGGGGATCACAATATTCAGCCATCCCACAGCTTTTCGGGGGGACAGGGCACAGTCACTTCACCTGCCTAAGAACCAGGGAAGGCCTGTGCTGCACAAGTCCAAAGGCTAAATTCAATCTTGGTGTAATTGGTGATACCCTCGTTGGTGCTGATGGAGTTTACTCCATGATTATTTGTGTGATGGCAGAGGCCCGGCTGAGATCAGGGCCCCAGTTCTTGGCGCTGTACTTGCTCATAGCAATAGACAATCCCAGCTCTGAAGAGATAACAAGCAGAGTGGAGGGGGAACCAAGGTGGAGGTGAAGTGACATGACCAAGGGCACACAGTAGATCAGAGCCAGGGATAGAACACAGATCATCCAGGCGGCACGTCAATGGCCTACATTAAGTTGGCTCCACTATTAGTAAAGAGCTTGGAGAAGGTTATCAGCTAATTATCAGGAGAGACATGACAATTCAGTGCACGTGAAGGTAGTTTGACTGTAGCCAATAAACAGAATCAGTCTTTGTAATGCTCAAAACTACTTTATTTGGATGGAACAACCTCAACTCCAGATGCATTTTTTGCACAACTGATCCTCTTCTCCTTCGCTAAGGCAGGAAACACAAAGGTGGCCCCCACTGGCTCCTAAGAAGTTATTCTTTATCCTTCTCCTTTTTCTTCTTGTCACCGTGTTGACCCTAGGGATAAGCCAAAGAGAAACAAGAGGGCATATCAGGGCCCGGGCAGCGGCTGTGTGTTTCCTTGCCTCTCTCTCTTCCTCATTCTCCTGGCCTCTCACAAAATTCTGAGCTTACAGATGGGTTGTGAGCATTCACAATGGGAACCTGCTGGCTTCCTGGAACCCAGGCTAGCATCCATCAGGCGCAAGCGTGTGAGTTTGGGGTGAGGTGCAGGGCCTGGGGGCCCTTTGGTGCTTTGTTCTTGTGCATCTGCATGGGCCCAAGGAGGTAGAATGGGGCTTGCATGCTAAGCTCATAGCTGATTTCAGCAGCTCCCCTAGCAGATCTGACTTACCCATGGGGGGACTTTGAAAACACCCCACTCTGAGCTCTTCTCATGCCTGTTAGTGGCCACGCCCTGCACACTGCACATCCAGGAAAGGGGAGAAGAAAAGTCCCCACAACTCCCCCCGCAAACTGCTGCTGTAGCGCTAACTGGCAGCAGCAGGGTTTCAGGATCCTATGTGATGTGTCACTCCAATGGATGCTGATCTCCCAGGAGGCGTGAGGAAGAAAGGAAAGAGTTTATTCTGCCCCAGCAGGGACCAGACCCAGGCTGGATAAGGATGTTTTAAAGCAAGGGAAAAGCAAACGGGCGCCATTGATGGGTTAGGTCCCGCGCCGTTCGCACTCACCTCTTCAGATTCGCTGTCCGAGGAGCTGCTGCTGCTGCTGCTCTCATCTCCTTCCCCCTAAGGGGCAAAGAGGAAAAGGTTCATAATCAGCAGCAGTTGCCTTCCCAAACCACCAGCCTGGCCCCACCCAGACTCTGCCTCCAGAATGCCTACTGTAGGCGGAGTGTGGCTGCCTTGAGTGCCCACCGTCCCCGGGCTCCGGGACTGAGGAGGCTGGTGCTGCACACCATCCCACCTCCCTGTGGTGCTGGGAGTGGGGGGCGTGACTCCCATGGGGAAGATGAGGCAGGGCTGGGGGCTTGCCTCCCTCAGCCCTACCTTCCCCCACTGCCCATATTCATAACTTACTGGCGACAGGATCACTGTAGCAGGAACAAAGCTGCCCAGCTGGTGTCAATGTCTATCCAGAGACCTCTTGGCTCACAGGGTGGATGGAGGAAGAGAGATCACTGGTGTATTGTTTTGTTGCTCTCACAGCAGAGACCCAGTGGTAACTCACTTCCTCTGTTCCCAGTTAGCCCATCGACAGGGAGGAGACAGTGCAGCGAGCAGACAACCTGTCTGACCCGGCCTTCCCCTCCCCGGGAAACGGTTTTCAGGCTCAGTGCTAGCTCCAGGGCTGTTTGCCAGCTGTCACACACACTGTGCTACCATCCCAGGAGGAGCAAAATCAAACACACACAGAGACTCGGAGAAGCGACGGCCCGATGAGACTCTACAATTTGCCCCACAGAATTCTACCCAGGACTATCAGAGCATCCAATCGCCCGACGAACACCAGGGACGGGCAGCCAGGCTGAGCACCAGGCTGGAGGAACCTGCAAAGGTCCCAAAGCCAATGGTATGCGGAGCTTACACTCGGCTGTCTTTTGCAGGGCCAAAACATTCCCTATTCGGTCAACGAGGTCGGAATTGGTTTTTCCTTTGTGGTGCTGAGACACTGAAATGGTGAAATCAGTTACACCCCCAGCGTGCCCGGACACCACGTGGAAAGAGCAAATTCACCACCATTTCCTCACCCTTTTCTCTTTCTTCTTCTTCTTCTTGTCTTTCTTGTCTCCCTCTTTCTTGTCTTTCTCCTTCTCTTCCTTCTTGTCTTTCTCCTTCTCCTCCTTCTTGTCTTTCTCCTTCTTCTCCTCCTTCTTGTCTTCTCTTCCGAACACTGAGGAGAACAAGAGGACAGGTCAGTTCTCATCTCACACGGTCTGTGTGCCAAGCATTATGCACCCAAGTACGAGGCAGAACGGAGTGAAAGGACAAGGAGCGTGTGGGTCCGTCCAGTCCTCTGCCACTGAGAAAGCACAGGGCATAGCTTCCCTGTGATGCCCACCCAGGAAAGCCCAAGAGAGGAACTAGGCCTACTCCCATGAGGAGGGTTTGTACTGAAGAATGTCAGTGAGTTGAGCAATACAGAACACCCCCCCCCCCAACAACCAGAATGAGGCCAGCGTGTGTCAGGCCACAGGAGGTGAGACAAGGTGCACCAGTGCCGATGGCCCGCACCATGGCTGGGGAATAAACAAACGAGATAAACCCGGGGAACCCTGGCACACGATCCCCGCACCCGCAAGCTGCTGAGGAAGGAGGAAAGCCTCCAACATCACTGCCAATCTGACCAAGGGGGAAATTCCTTCCTGTCCCCACAGTTGGCAGCAGCACATCCCAAAGGACAGTCCAGACCGGCTCCTCGCTGACCCCACCCGCGACTCCAGCAAAGGGTTCCGTGCAGTTAGCAATGTGAGGAGTGACATGTGTTTGCAAGGGGGGATGGGGCACAGGGGCTGGGATGGGGTGGGACGGAGAGAGAGTTAGCTTCCACCACGCCCCCCTCCATCCCACATCGTGCTCAGGCCTCTGTTCCGCTGCGGTTTCCCTGCCCGGGCGCGAGGCCACTCACTCTTCAAGATTGAAGACATCCTGCAGCCGTTCCCTGGCTCTCGCACGGAGATTCAGAGGACCTAGAAAAGAGATATTCCCCCAGCCAGGGCGGGGTAAGGGGAGACGTTGTGATACTCCAGGATTTTCAGGATGGAGCTGCGCTCTGCAACATTAAAACAATGGTGTCTGGGTCCCAGAAACTCAGCTCTGCGTTCTTTTAACCTGCCGGCGAAGGAAGAGCCTTGAATGGTTTTACACCTTCCAGGATGGTTAGTCTCCGGGGTTAATGGAAACCATCTGCATACCCCAGTGGGTTTCAGACTTTTTTTTCTCATGACTCAGCTGAAGAAAATTGTTGATACTGCGACCCACCATAATTTGACTAGCTCCGGGGTGGGGCTGAGGAGGAGCTTTGGGGTGTAAGAGGAGGCTTGGGCCAGAGGGGCAGGTGTAGGAGGGCAGGGCTGGGTGGGAAGGGTTTACCTCCAGTAGCTCCTGGGCAGCAGGGCTGAGGCAGTGCGGGGAGCCCTGTGCACTCTCCCTCACACCTAGGAGCCAGGCCTGCTGCCGGCCACTTCTGGGGCGCAGCGCAGTCTGCAGTGCCAGGCCAGGCAGAAGCTGCCATAGCCCCCACTGGTCACCTGGTCCCCCTGCAGCAACGAGACCCAGCGCCTGACATTCTACCGCCTAACCCTGGGTCATGACCCCTAGTTTGAAAACCGCTGGCCTACAGCGTTACTGAAGCCATTCCTGTTTCAACCCAACGTACCTCGGGCTGCGGTGGGGTCTCCGTCACCCAAAGTCTTTACGTCAACCCTGGAGGGCCTTCTAACAGATCTGCTCTAGCCCAGTCAGAAGTCATGGACTTAAGGCAGGAATGAGCAGTCGGGGAGGCTGTCTGGCCTGTGTTATGCAGGACGTCAGATCAGAACGGTCCGTTAGTGCTGCCGTAAAGTCAACGAGTCTCTGAGTGTTAGGGGCGAGGCTGTTTGGAAGTCTCCCACAGTTACAGCGTTACGACGTCACTGTGTGTTTGAGTTACCCACAGGTCTGTTGCCAGGTAGCAGGTGCAGGGAGCAGAGGGAATCAGTCCCAGTCTGCCCTTTCCCGCACTTCCCGTACATTCTGTCACGGAACTCCCGTACATTCTGTCACGGAACTCCCGTACATTCTGTCACGGAACTCCCGTACATTCTGTCACGGTTCTGTCACGGAACTCCCCTCCCGTACATTCTGTCACGGAACTCCCATACATTCTGTCAATAGTGAATGGAAATTGCTATTGAGGAGCAAAAAGGAAAGGCCAAACGCTGCTCACGGCAATTGGGAGTCTCACGGGTCTTGACTCGCTTGGGGAAGGTTTCTCATTAGGAGAGAGGCGTGGGTGGCTCCCGCCCTGGTGAACGTGAGCCAATCTCAGTGTCGTGCATGTAGCCATGCTTGGGGTAGCTTAAGGCTCAACTGCCGCGCATTTGCCTGGGTGGGTGGAGGCTGAGCTGAAAGCAACAGACGTTCTCACCCCCTTGCAAAGCCTTGACCAGCTCTAGCCTGGGCTCACCCCATGGTCTGCAAAATTACTTTTAAAAAGGCAGTAGTCACATGGCCAGATTATACCAAGGGTGGGGAACCTAAGGCCTGACCAGATCTGGGCCTTGGCTTGCCTGGATCCAGCCCCAAGGCTCCCGGCTCCCTCCCTCCCCAAGCACTGGGGAGCTGGAGCTGGCACCCCAGCCCTGCAGCCCCTCTGCAGTTTCCCACACAGGGCTGGAGAATCAGTGCCAGCTCCCTGCTACTGGGGGGAGAAGCCCTGAGCTTCAGGGGCCAGACTCAGGCAAGCCAGGTCCGGATCCAACCCGCAGGTCGGGGAGGAAACGGCTCCTGCATCTCTCTCCCATCCAGACCCCCTCAGCCCCACTTTGCTCCTGCCCCCTACCATCCTTCCAGACCCACCAACCCCCAACCCACTCCTGCACCCTCTCCCCTGGCCAGATCCTGCACCCCAAGCCTGCTTCCTGGCAGCGTCCCCTCCCACACACTGAACCCTCATTTTGGGCCCCACCCAAGAGCCTGGGGGGACAAAATCTACTAGCCGGGGGCCCTAGGCTCTGCAGTATGAAGGAAATGTGGGAAATGTCTTTCTGCTTCTCCCTTGGGGGTCACAACAGTAGAGTGTTTTGAATCAGGGTTTTTTTTTTTTTTTTTTTTTTACTGAAAGGAAGATAAGACTGACTCTTACTTGAGAAAAGCAGCATATTTTAATTTAATAATAGAGGCAGTTATATTTATACAGAGGGCGAGCGGACAGCAACAACAGACGAGTCCCTGGCAAATCGCAGTGTTGACTGAACCAAAGGTAACCTCACACTGGATAGCTCTGTAGAGCAAATACACCCAAGTTCTCCAGCCTAAGCAAGTGGGAATGTGTGTGCACCTCATTTCCGTGGGCACAAGGAGCTTACCAGCCACGCCTGCTATCACTTCGCCCAGGAGGACTCCTTGTTTTACTGCAATTCCCCTCTCCGGGAGTCCCTCGGAACAGGATTCTAGCAAAAATGCCTGGGACTCATACAGCAGGGGGCCTGTTACTCAGGGCTATC